TTATTTTAAAGATTTATTTATTTATGCATACAAGAAATAGGGTACAGGTCAGAGGTGTAGGGGTGGGGGGGTTTGAGAGGATTCACCAGAGACAGGAGTGGGGAACAGAACAGGCAATGAAATACATTGCTGAGGGGAGCAGCTGGTGAGACAGGAGAGGTCTGCTGCACCATGTGGGTAGCTCCCTGGCCAGCAGGGGATCGAACTTGTGCTGCAGTGGCTGCAGATAGTTTCACAGTGCTGTGCTTAACCCCTTGCGCCACCAGGGAGGCCCTCCACATTGATTTTAGCATCAGCTTGTCAATTTCTGTGAAGAAGCCAGCTAGGTTTTTGCTAGATAGGAACTATGAAATCTGTGGATCAGTGTGGATCAATCTTAATACTAGTTTTTTGATTCATAACATGGAATATCTTTCCATTTACTTAGGTTTTCTTTAATTTCTTTCAACAATATTGTATACTTTTCAGAGTATAAGTTTTTTTTTTAATTTATTTCTAAGTATTTTATTCTTTTGGTAATAGTATAAATGGAATTATTTTCATTTGGATATTCAATACAAATAGAAATACAATTAAATACAACTAATTTTTGTATATTGATCCTGTATCTTGCAACCATGTTCAGTTCATTAATTCTAAGTGGTTTTTGCTGTTGTTGTTTTAAAGATTTATTTTATTTATTTCTGCATACAAGAACTGGGGTATAGGCCAGAGGTGGGGGGCTGATGAGAGGATTCACTAGAGATAGAGTGGAGAACAGAACAGGCAGACTGACTGAAATACACTGCTGAGGGGAGCAGCAGGAGAGACAGGAGAGGCCTGCTGTGCCATGTGGGTTAGCTTCCTGACTGGGGATGGAACTCATGCTGCAGTGGCTGTGGACTGCTTCATAGTGCTGAGACTTAACCCCTTGTGCCACCAGGGAGGCCCTCTATAAGGTTTTTTTTTTTTGGGGGGGGGGGATTCCTTAGCAATTTCTATATAGAAAATCATGTCATCTGCAAATAAAAAGTTTTACTTTTTCCTTTCTAATCTGAATGTCTTTTATTTCATTTCCTTGCACAACTGCCCTGATCAGAACCTCCCTTACTATGTTGAAGTGACAACAAATATCCTTGTTTTATTCCTGATGGGGAATATAGTGGGTAGGGGAGGAGTGGGGGTATTGTGATAAGCACTCAGTCTTTCACAATGAAGTATGATGAGAGCTGGGGTTTTTCATAAATGAAACCTGATCCTTTTTCAGGCTGAGGAAGTTCCACTCCTTTTGTTAAGTGTTTTTTGGTCAAATATTTTTTTCTATATCTATTAATACGATTATTTTTTGCTCTTCATGCTCTTCATGGTATATCACCAATTTTCAATTAAACCAAACTTGAATTCCTAGGATACATGTACTTGATCATAGTATAGAATCATTTTTATATGTTGCTGAATTTGGTTTGCTAGTATTTTGTTGATGATTTTTATACTTGCATTCATAAAAGCTACTGGTTAGTAGATTTCTTGTGATATCTTTATGTGATTATGGTGTCAGAATAATGCTGGTCTCAAAAAATGAGTTCATTAGTACCCTGCCTCTTATTTTTTTGGGAAAGTTTGAGAAGAATTGGTATTCAGTAGAATTTACCAATGAATCCATCTGGACCTGAACTTTTCTTTGTGAGTTATTTTTTTTATTACCAACTCACTCTCTTGTTATAGGTCTGTCCAGATGTTTAGTTTCTTCATCTATTGTTTCAATCATTTATGATGTGGTAACCTTACAGTTGCATAGGTAATACCTTGCATCCCAAATGCTGAAGCTTTTGACTTAAACTACAACTGCTATATTGCTTAAAGAGACACTGAGGTTATGTGACTTGAATATCTGTCCTGATTTCAGAAAGCTGTATGCTGAACTTCCTCATTTCTTCTCACATGCATTACTCGTTGCTAGTTATTGCCCCATATTTCCTCATGCAGGCATGTAGTAGGAAGTAAGTCGAGCCAACAGGGCCATGTGTACCCTGGTGACAAAGAAACAAGACATGAGAGAAATGTTTTTACCATTACCTTGAGGGATGTGATCAATTGTTTTACACCCCCTCCTGCCTGTTCCTTGTCCAGCACATCAACACACATTTGCAAGTGTTTTAAAAGTACCATATTTGTGACTCTCTCTTTATATGCTCAAAATAATAAGGTGGAATAATGAGACTGCAGTCTCTGGAGTCAAACTTACTACCTGTGTGTGTCACTGACAAGTTTTTAACATTTCTGCATCTTGTAGGGGGATAATAACAATATCTATCCCTAAGGATTGTTATGATAAGTAAATAATATACATAAAAGTGCTGGAACAATACCTGGCTCCTTATATAGGCTATCAAAGTAAACTATGCCACTAACAAAACATATTTGATTTTACCCTCTAAGATTACTGTCCAGGTTACTGGGATGCAGAAAGGAGCATATTTTCTTTGTTCTCTGCACTGAATATAAGCTCTAAAACTGAAATTGCTTAAGAAATCATCTAAAAATAAAAAACATCTCCCATTCCCAAGGAAATCAACCTGGCAGAAGAAACAATGAATGGGAGGTGGTAAAGCACCATGATATCAAAAGCACAGCCTCTAGAATCAGATGGATTTGTGTTCAAAATCTAGTTCCACCTGGTAGCCTGGCTATTTCCTCAAAGAACATACTTAACCTTTAAAGCATCTCTTTGCTCACTGGTAAATGGGAAAAATAATACTGAATATAAGGGATTTAACAAGGATTAAGTAAAGCCACCTAATGTAGAGAAATTGCTTTTAATCACTTTTTAAAATTTATTTATTTATTTTTAAAGATTTATTTATTTTTATACAAGAAATGGGGTACAGGCCAGTGGCACGGGAGGATGAGAGGATTCACCAGAGACAGAGTGGGGAGCAGAACAGGCAGACGGATCGAAATACACTGCTGAAGGGAGCAGCGGGCACGACAGGAGAGGTCTGCCTCACCATGTGAGTTTCTCCCTGGCCAGCCAGGAATCAAACCAGCGCTGCAGAGGCTGTGGACAGCTTCACAGCACTGCGCTCAACCTGCTGCACCACCGGGGAGACCCTTAAAATTTATTTTTAATAAGCAAATTCAATAAATAAATAAATAAATAATAAGGAAACAAGAACCTAATTTGGAACAGGTTCCCAATCTTGGCCACACATGTGAATCATCTGGAGATCTTTGAAAAAGTGAGGTTGCCTAGACTGCACCTAAGACAAAAAGCATCAGAATGTCTGGGGTTAAGGCCTCAACATCAGTATTTTTAAAAGCTCTCTAGATAATTCCAACAGCACAGTTGGGGGGTGAGAACCATAACAGCTAGACAGAAAACAAATCCCAATTTTTACCATCTAAATCTAAAAAGTTTAAAAAATTAACATCTACTCTTCTTATAAAGTAAGCCCATCAGATCTGCCCTCTCAGATCAGAATTACTACTATCTGATGGCAGACTAGAAGCTAAGAGAGTTTGAACAATTTATTTCTGGGAAAAAAACAGAGAGTCAGGTTGAAAACTCTAGTTAAGCCCTGAAGCCCATACCTCTTATTCAAATGCAGTTATGACACTTCCTTCACTAACATCCTTTAATATACTTATACCCTTTAAACGTCGAAGTCCAGACTCCTTAATAGGAAGACCACCCTTCAGAGCCTGGCCCCACAATGTGCCTGTGAGACTGCATCATATACATGCAGACTGCTTTGGTGCTGGTCTAAATAGCCAAACCACCACTACCCTAGGAGACTGCTCAATTTCAGTGGCCAGCTGACTTGCCCAAGAGGGAACAAAGTTACTACTAAAGAAAACAAGGAGAACAGTGGTTCCTAATGCTGCAACTCCAATGTGAATGTCTCTTCCAGGAAGAAGTCTTCCCCAACCACCTCTCCTGCCACTGCCTCACTGCAGGTTAAATACCCTGCTATGTCTTATAGTACCCCATAGCTCTTCCCTCAGCATTCTAGCCTATTTGGTTTTGCTCACTTATTCCCAAGGCCTAGAAATATATGGTGGAGTGAAGAGAAGACCTAGAAATATATGGTGGAGTGAAGAGAAGACCAGAAACAACATGAAGAAGCTACTCCGACCACAAAAGGTTAATCTCCCTAACCCAGGTCTCACCTTCCATCTCCTCAAAGGTGAACTCTGTAGGATAAAAACTGTTGAATGTGGGTGTTACATATAGATGGTAATCTGTTCTGCCAATTTTTTATAGGTTTGAAATTTTATAAATTCACAAAAAAACTTTTGGGGAAAAATAAAGTGAGTTCTGTCTCCATTCCTAAACCTGCCATTCTTGCTAAATATTATTGCCACAGGATGCCCAGTACCAACTTGAATAATTTCCCCACCATGTGATGGTGGCCAGGCAGAGAAAGCACACAACTATTGCCAATATAAGAAAGTACTAAGGAACCCCCAGGGTCAGCTAACAAAAAAACAAGATGTTCCACCAATAGTTACATTCCAGGTTCCAACAAAATGCTGGGGTTTCATCAATTTCCTTCTATGGCCTCTCCTATTGGAGAGAAATGCTGTTCAAGTCTGAGAAAAGGAAGAAGAAAAGGATGCTAGAAAAGGTAAGGAAGCTGCAGAAGAGAGCACAGCAGTGAAATATTAAATCAGGGGAACTGAGTATACAAATTCAGCTTGCTCCAGCACTGGCCTCGTAGCCAAATCACCAGTCAAGCACATTCAATGCCAGTGGCGACCTAACGTGCACAAGACAGAACATTGTTAACACTAAAGAAAAAGCCCCCATTCATGACGGCCATTCCCAAAGGACTGTTGTATCATAAGCAGTTCTCTCTAGAAAAAACCCTAGCAAGGAATTAACTTTTGAAGTTTGACAGATGAATAAAACAGAACCAAACCCCTTTCTTTCTGTCCCCTCTTCCATACTGAACAATATTTCAGAGGCAGAGAACTGTGATGTCAGTGTAGCTGACCTAAACTCTGACACTTGCCATTACCTCTTGCTGCTTCTCCTCATTGGGATAGGTGTCTACAAATACTCCCAGCCCCACAAATTTGTCCATGTTTCCAAACACAGGCCCTAGAGAGAGAGAACAGATGATGAACAATGAAATAAAACCAAGAGTTGACAACGGAATAATATATCACTATGATGGAGGAAAAAGTGAAATTCCAATGACTCCCAGGCCTCTCCTCAGATGAGAAAAACGTATGTAAAAGCACCCAGCAAAGTGCATGGCCTATGGTAATCACCCAAAAAATATCTGTGGTTGTTTGTTACTGAAGGCAGGGAAAAGAGAAGACCATGCAACCATGTTTAGCACTACAGCTGCTCCCTGATCCAAACCGGTTGCTAAGGCGCCCCTTAAGAATTCTGTTTCACAAACACTTGGTGATGACTGTGCCCCTGAGAGAGAAGTGAATTCCCAAGTTCTACCTCTTGTTGCAAAAGAGATCAGGTCAAATCAGGTTGAGTCTGCCATCTACTTGGAGCCATGGCTTCTACACAACAAGGAAAACTAGCTTACTATTTTGACTCAGGAGTGCTGAGATTGTTTACTGTGCTTGCTCAGAAGAAATCGGCTGACCCACTCCTTAGTGTCCAGGAGAGCCAGTGCTTTTCCCCAGCTAACAGGTCAGGTGGTTTCACAGGGAAACCGAAAGGAACTAATAAGCAAGAAGTCACCCCAGGATGAGTCAAGTTCCACTGCTTATTAGGACTCAGACCACTTTCTAGAGACTAGACAGGCCAGTCTTCATCCATACACATCAAAGGAGAGGGGGAACACTGTAGGGACATACCTTGCTCAAAGAGAGGGGACATGGAAAAGTAGGCCTGCCACACTTCACACAATAGCAAACCAGAGTCCCAATACCTGGCTGCATCCGATCCTTTGTGTACCAGATTGCCAAGCCATCCCCATGCAGATTCTTCTTCCCTTGTCCATGGATTCTGAAGTGTACCTGCAACTCCCAGTCTCTCAGGAAACATGGCTAAAGTGAAAAAGACATTAGAATCAACAAGGAGCATGAAATGCAAAACCCCTCAAGCCCTCACCAGCAGTTTATAGACTTGGAAAACATAAATGCAGGTAACGCAAAGCTAGGGGTTAAAGTTGAAACGTAAGACTTGCTAAGTATTTATGTTATAAAATTAGACAGTTTGAGTCATTCAATTGTATATGAGATCTAATATGAAAAATGAGTAAACCTCCCAATTATCTTTAACATTTCCCAGTAGAAACAGGCAGGACAGTGTTTCAAAGTTGGAAAAGACAAGAAAATGCCAAGTTAGACTAGTGTTCTACTGTGATCCTACATCCACCCAGCAAAGTACTGCAGCCTGTAGAGTGCAGGAGGCTGAATTCACACTATTTGTGACTTATGACCATCCCTCTAACAGACTCTAAAAAACTTGGATTTTAAAAAATGTCAAATCTTCATTCATTATAAAAGAATAAAAAAAGCTAAGTCATTACGCAAAGGTTTCCAGGAACAATTAGCAGATGCTATAAACAACTCTAATTAGCTACCCTTGGCCCTTTGCCACACCAACTAGAGGCAAGCTAGAGTTCCCATGAGAAGCAGTAAGTCAGTCCCCCAAATCTCATGCTCATGGCCAAGAAGCATAAATGCACCAAAAGAGAACACCACTGTCCCCACCACAGGGCAGCCTATGGTGGGAAAACACTAAAGAAGTGGGCACAATTTAGTCCTCTTTTTCTTTTTGGAATTGTGTATTAAAACCTCAGAAAACTGGAGAGGATAAGTGAGTATTTCAGGACTCTAACTAGATGACTATACTTCTAAGGAGAAACCTAGTAGATACTTTGTTTAGAGAGGCTCCTGGTTAAAGTTCACCATGAAGTAAGGAAGAGGAGCAGACAGACTTGCACAGTTCAAATACTCTCTAAATCGTTCTAGCACTTGAGCAACATACTGCTATATCATTTTCATTGCCTGGGAAATATTCCCAAATTTTATTTGAGGAACACAGTCAAAATGAAAGAGATACAGATACTTCTGAATTCAACAAAAAACCCTGGAATCAATAATTTACTCTGATGAACCCAAGACCTTGTTTTGTTGTTCGGGGTTCTTGTCTTTCTGCTATTTCATTTAGATTTCAGGACAAGAGTGAAATTCAGTGGCAGGAAGTTGCCCTGTAACCAGTAGGTGGGTATTATGTCTCTGCAAAGAGGGAAGGCCCAGACAAGTTCACGGGGAGCCAAGAGGTGCCTGACACTTATTTTTTGCTTGGTGTAGCATTTGCCCAAGGCTGTGTCTAACAGAGGTTCTCAAACTGCTGCATGTTAAGATTCACTTAGAGAGTTTTTGAAAAATCCTGTTGGCCAAGCCACAGCCATTTCCAATAAGTATCTCTGGGGTATCAACTCCAAAGGACAACCAGATTTAAGAACCACCTACTCAAATTGATCCTATTTAAATAACTCCAAAGATCATCCTGATTGTCAGATAACAAAAAATACAGGGATTAGAGCATCTGAAAGAGGACAGTGTAACTAGATACTGGACTGTTAAAAAGAGTTACATAACAGCTTGCAATACAGCAGCAAGATATGTATCAAGCCTTGGACTTAACCTTTTAGTAACCTATTAATGAATCTTGTAACAGATGTAATAATACACAACAACACACTTCTGTAACCATTTTAATTTTCCAAACCTTTGTATGTCTCTGATCTTATTTCATTCTCACAATAACCCTGGATAAGGCAGCAAAGGTACTATGAAGTTCATCTGACAGATGGAGAAACTGAAAACAGAAACTGCTTAGGGTTCACAGTGGATCTGTGATACAGCTAGACCAAGAACCCCAGTCCTCACCTCTTCTACTACAACATATTACTCTGCATTCTTTCCAAGATCAAGTTCAGTTACAATCTGGGTTAAGGGCCTGGCTTGTGGAAATAGCTCACGTAGAAACTTCTCTTATTGTTCTGTCCATCAGAATTCTCTACCACGTAAATGAAGAGGGAAAAATAGTTCTCTTTTGTAAGGATCACTTGTATACAGCTAATAATAAAAACAAAGTAAAGTTCTTAGCTTATGAGAACCCCTGAGAGGTATTAAAGGATGACAAAAGTATCCTTCCCAAAAGTAAAGCGGTCGTAAAAGATTTAGAAAGAGACCTGGAAACCAAAAAGGAAGCATCATCTTACACTTGTACAAAATCACAGTGCAGCCACACCAGGAATACTGCATTCACTTCTTGCCGCCATACCTCAAGGAAGACAATGTAGCTAGAAAAGTTCCAGAGAAGGACAAATAAAATGACCGAGGGCTCAAAGTGGCTTTTACATTGAAAATAAAATTTAAAATTAGAGTCTTCAAAGTGAAATAACAAGTGGTGGTGGGGGGAGGGGACACTGGGCTGAAGGTTGGGATAAATTTGAAAGAGCTATCTTCTACTTTACAGATCAAAGTAATTAAATGGGAGTAATTGTCATTAGCCTCAAGGAAGCAGTACTATCAGGTCAGTCAGGAATTAAAGACATTTCAGAAAACAGAATCATAATGAATTTTTGCTTAATTAGGGCAGTACAGAGCATTTCCCTAAATGTCTGGTTTCATTATAAAGGTCATCATACTATTTAAAATGAAAACCCTTGATATCCATAGAAGACAGAATTCTGATGATAGATAGTAAAATTAAGTCAATATGCCATCAGTGAACTTTTTAGAACTTTGTGGGTCACAAACACAGGAGGGAGAAAGATTCTTACCACCCGGTTCCATAGGGCACCCTGTTTACTTTGCATATCAGGGGTAAGGCGGATATACTGGGTCATCACCATGGCATTGCCCATCAAATTCCACAATGAGGAACTGCCTGTGCCCACACCTACAGGGAGGAAGTAGATCAATTCATACTCTTCAACACCAACCCATTCAAAAAGTCACCACGGACCCTCTGAAAGCTGGAGCCCTCATGTTCTTCTCCCATTTCAGGTCACTAGTACAATCTCCCACCTGTCACTCATAACTCTAAAATTCCTTATCTTTATAATTTCCTTTCAGAAAACCCTTCTCAGGTGAAGACCCCCAAACACACCAGACTATCACTTTATACATGCATGGTAACCATAGCTCAGACCTATTCTTCCCATTTTCTGTGTAAGCAAATTATGAAAAGGAAAACAATTTCCCAGTTACACCAAAAGGAGTTCAACTCTCAGGCCCATCAAGCTTTTAATCAGATTCTTTTAACAATCCTTCAAGTGTGAAGTTACTTCTCCCCATACTTTTAAGACTACAAGCCCCTTAGAAGTGAGGTCTGTGTAACTCACAGTATTAGCAAAGAGACCATAATAGAAGAGGATGCATTGCTAAGTGAATAAATGATCATCCTTAGTAGCAGTGTATATCTTGCACTGAGTTGTTTTTATTTGCTATCTCCCTGCCCACACTACCTTGGGAAACAAACTTGGTTTGTTAAGCTGTCAACACTGATTTGACCTTCTTTGTAGCTAATATGTTTTGGTCCATAGTTGTGCTTTGGGACCTATGAACCCTAATTAGAGCAAAGCTAATCAGACTCTTACTAACAGGACTCCTGGACTGAAGAACAGGTGTTTTAACTGGTAACAGATTTTTCTCTTCTTTTTCAGTCTAATCAAGCTCTACCCCAGTTTTTCCTCCAGCTTTATCTGTTGCACACCCACAGCTCCATCCCAAGCCCGGCTCATTGCTAGTGGACCTCAATCTCCGTCCACCATTCAGAGTTCTCTCCCCTTCCCACATTCCTCCTGCCAATTCCATACTCTCCTCCGTACAGGACTGGAGTCAGTGGCAACCAGTTTCCACTTGTTGGAAACTTCCAGCGCCAGGGGGTAAGGAATGGGAGGCTGACCCCTACCCTTCGAACGTGGTACCCAGACGCGGCGACTCCCCGTGGACCCCCCCAGCCACCGCCGGCAGTTTCCTCGGGGCCACAAAGCCCTTCGCTGCCCCCCATCTCTATGGATGCGATTAATTCCCGAAGCCCACCCCAAGCACGACCACCTCGCCCCAGGTGCCTCACCCTGATAGGGCTTTGACAGCGAGTGCTCCCGTTTCAAGTACTCGAACGCTTGACCCGCCCCAACTTGCCATGGCCCTTGCCCAGATCCCAGCAAAAGGAGAAGGAGCAACATCCTGGACCCATCCTGAGTCGACAAACGCCGCCGCCAATGCTGCCACCACCCAGAGGGTCCCAGAACCGCCGCCATCTTCCCCACCGCCGTCCCTTCAATGAAGACCCGCCCCCGTCGCCAAATCATTGGCCCATCGAACCACCTGCCTTGTGTTCCATTGGTTCTCGTCAAGTCCCCGCCCCCGCAGGTAAGCTCCTCTTCGATTGGCTGGCTTGTATCAGTTGTCTTGCCAACCCAGGGAAGGGGCGTGGCCGAGCGCCTGAACCTTTTTCTTTGCGTTTGGCCTGAGTTCCACTAGGCCTGCTGGGATATATAGGGATTTCTAGGTTGTCTGCGTCTAGAGTGAATTTAAGGAAAAAAAGCAGGGCCTCCCTGGTGGCACAAGAGGTTAAGACATAGCACTATGAAGCTATCTGTCGGCACTGTAGCACAGGTTCGATCCCCGGCCAGGGAGTGACCACATGGCGCGGCAGACCTCTCCTGACTTGCCCGCTGCTCTCCTCAGCATTTCAGTCAGTCTGTCTGTTCTGCTCCCCACTCTGTCTCTGGTGAATCCTCTTACCCCCTCCCACACACACACACACAGACCTCTGGCCTGTACCCCAGTTCTTGTATGCATAAATAAATAAATTTTTAAAAAAAAAAAAAAAAGCATTTCTTCCCGATCCACGCAAACCCTCTATCTTCTCAGTCATAATACCTTTTGACTGTGCAGAACTGTCAATCAGGATATCGAACTCAAAGGAGAAAAAGGCAAATCCACAATTAAAATAGCTGAAAAATTATCAAATGTACGAGAGACTTAAACAACACTCTCAAGCAACTTGATCTGATGAC